ACACTAATTACAAAACAATGGAGTCAGATTCAGTTGGATGTTTTATGGTAAAAATCTGTCTTGGAAAACATTATGCATCCATTTTTTATTTCCTTATTTTACTTAACTGTATTTTATTCATTTGTTTATCTATCTATTAATTTAATCATTTTCCCATTTCCTTTCTTTTTTTCCCCTGTGGGGGTGTTTTGTCAAGTCGCTACTATTGCTCTATTCCGTTGATCTCTTTTATCATTACCATTGTTATCATTTTATACTTTAACTTGTAAAGTTCACGTCACAAACTGTATTCTGGGAGAGTGGAAATAGGTTTTACATTTGATTTATCAAATTTGTAAACTATACGGTTCGCTCTGTTAAATGTATGTATACTTCTGTACGGATCACCTTTCAAAATAAAAAATAAATAAAATCTGTTCTTTGCATCGTAACACTAACTTTGCAGTAATCCCTTAAATTCTGAACATTCATGTTGCAACAGCAAAGTTCTGTTGGAAGAATCTGATGTGTTAAATTAATAAAAACTCATAATTGATATACTCTCTAAAAATGACACTGCCAATCTCCGGGTGTACTTTAATGTACTTTCATGTTGGCGCAGAGAAGAAACAAGAAAAATGTCATGGAGAGCTTTTTAAGAGGGTTGATAACCCAAAGAAAATTACAAATGAGCTCTTAGTCCTCATAAATTTATATTTATCAGTATAAGCATCAGAGGTTTAGTATTGGAATATAGTAAAAAAAAAAAACAAAGCATCCAGGTTAACCAGAGAACAACCCAACTCCATAAAAAATAAATAAAAGCAGGCCTGTTGTGGAAAACAACCTACTTACTCCTGAGAGACACTGAAACCAGACTGTTGAACATAAAATACATTCAGAAAAAATCCCTTCCTTCCACTGGATCCCATCCATCTCATATGACACATATTTCTCTATCTGCCTTGCAGACATCTAAATCCATCAGTCTGTACATATCTGTCTGTGTGTGTGTGTGTGTGTGTGTATCTGAGGGGGGATTGAGGCTACAGTTTGCATGACGTCAGACCTCCATTCATGAACAACATCCTCCTCCTCCCCTTCGTCGTCACAGCGTAGCTGTTAATGTGATACAACGCACCACGTGGGAGTCCTTACCCCCCTTTCCCACCAATCAGAGCGCGGCGATTAACGGAGCAGACATGAGAACCACATGATCCTACACCTCCACATGTCTGGCTTAAGAGGTTTTACATGCTCTGGTTTCACATGATGTTTCCACAGAAAGTCGGACGCCAAGCGTTATCCTATGGCTGTACAGGGAAAGGGATGGCTAAAGATGAAAAGGAAAGAATATGCATATATAGTAAGGGTGGGGGGGTGCAAGCAAGAAAATAATAGAAGGTAGCACCTCATGAGGAGAGATAGGAAGGACTGGCAGAGGAAGGGATAGACACCATGACTCATCTCTAGTTTCATACCCAGTGGGAGGAGGGGATGTATGAGCATCAGGAAGAGGGACGGCTCAAAGGATGCTGAGCATGACTTCAGAGAGAGGAGTCAGTGTGTGCCCATGATGTCTTTGCATGACAATGACGTGTGTGAGCTGCATGAGGAGATCTGCTGCCACAACTGGCATCATACCACCTTCAGCTGACCTATAGAAAACGCCTGGTTTGAACCGATGAGCACTAGTAGAAAGATGGATCCGTTAATGATCCTCCTGCTAGTTATTTTTCTCATAATGCAGAGTTGGAAAAATAAAAACAGAGTAAGGGGAGGGGAGGCAAATGCTCCACTTAAACTCCATTAGTCCTACTTGCATCTGCAGCATCACCATCTGCAACCAAATGTTAAGTGCAAGGGTTTGTTATTGTTGGATTCAGGTGCACACATCCTATAAGACATCCTACAAGCACACTGATACAGGCCTGACTGAGGAGGTAAACAACAGCCACTCCCCCCTATCCCTGAGCCAACCGGAGCTGCACAACACGAAGCAGGAGGGGAGGAGGGAGGAGGGTGATGGAGGAAGAGGAGAGGAGTTGCTCTAATTTCTTGATGTGTGCATGTGTGAGCTTGCGTGCTCGGCTTTCCTAAACGCAACGCCACCCACTCACCCCCCACAACCCACCACCACCTCTATATTTCCTCTACTGAGGAATGAAATAAATAAATAAATAAGCCACGCATGTCTACGACGTTGCTGCAAAAATAGTTGATGCCACCACCTCCTTCTCCTCCTCGCGCAACTTTATCACGCATGCATGCAGGAGTCTAGACATGCGTGGCTTGTTTTTTCCACATGTGCGTACGAGTTAAAGCGCATATCTCCAAAAAATTTAAAGAATAATAATAATAACTGCACTGTTTTCTTTTTGTTTGTTTTTCTTTTGCATTTGAGCATAATATGAACTTGGACACTCTCCAATAGAAGTTTAGTCCGTTAGTTTATTTATCTCACTGTATCCTTGCAAAGCAAAAGAAAATAAACATCTAAGACGCACATCCGCCTCCAGGACCTGCGAAAGTGCGCACATAGCCACCGGCCTACCGCTGATACAGCTACTTCAGAGGTCCTGAACGCAGCACTTGTGTTATATCACACAGCTTCCATCCATATTAAGCGCGTAAGTGTTGCGCTTACCTTGATTACAGTCAGCTTTGGATACGCGGATGTCCTCGGTCCTGGATTAGATTAGATTTAGGAGATCATTTGGAGCAGGAACATGCAGTTTAACAGCTGAGGGTTGGTGCTGCTAAACATCCCCCCCCCCCCACCGGTCTCCACACACACACACCCCGGACACTTGAAGCACTCTGGGTGACAGGACTGTCCCTCTTCCCCTGTCCTCCCCTCCCCTTTGCAGTGCGCGTTGACAGCGCCTAGGATCCCCGCAAAGACCGACAGGAGTCCAAATCCAAAAGAGAAAAAAATGCGTTAAATCCCACTCTTAAAAAGAAACCAGCAAAAGAAAAGTGGAGCAAAAGACTGGCAAAGTCAATACGCAAAAAAACGCAGGGCTATTCCGGGTGTGCCAGGCTCCGAGATACGCCAAACGTGGAGCGCATGTCGCATTTTGCAAAAAAAAATAGATGAAAAAAAGAAAATCAACCCAAACGTGGAGTGAAAAATCCGTCTGTTTTCCTCCTCAGAGCCAACAGTAGGAGGAGAAGGAGGCAGGGAAATCAGAGGAAAGGGGGCGCAGATATAGAAAATAAAAAGCGATTATATGTTTCCACCGGATGAGTCAGAGGCTGTATCGCTCCTTCAGAAGTCAAACCCAGAGAGCTGTGATAGTCTCCACTTGCTCCCCAGGCTTTGCTCTTTGCTCGCCTCCCCTGCGCCGCGCCGCGCAGCTCTGGCCGGTGAATGCGCGCACACACACCGCTCTGCACTAACGCACAGGCGGGTCTCGTCTTGCAACGTATCCCCACCGCTGGAAGGAAAAACATAAAAACCACACCACCGACATGGAAGAAAGGGCAAAGGGGGGAAAAAAATCCGATCTTATCATCTGCTTGAAAACTATTTTGGCGCCATATTTATGGCGTACTTTCAATTCACTGTTAGAGAAAACTGTACTTCCTACTCTGGCAAATGTGAGGTTACAGCGCCCCGGTGAGGAGAATGTAGGTATTTGATTCAATTGAGTTTATTTCTATAGCACCAGTTCACCACATGTCATCTAAAGGCACTTTACAGTTCACCGGATCATACAGTCAAATTTATTCAGAGTTTTCTCTCTAAGGAAAACCAGTTGATTGCATCGACTCATTGACTCGAATGCAATCCCTCACGCTAAGCATGCTTGTAGCGACAGTGGAGAGGAAAAACTCCCTTTAAACAGGAAGAAACGTCCAGCAGAACCAGGCTCAGAGTGAGCGGCCATCTGCCGAGGCCGACTGGGGTTCAAGGAGACAGAAGCAGAGATACGAAATGCAGCTCAAGGATTATAGGGCTTATGTGTCAACAGGACTTGGAAAAACTTGTCCATGCTTTCATCTTCAGTAGACTTACTGTAACAGGGTCTTTACAGATCTCCCTAAAATATCAATCAGACAGCTGCAGCTGATTCAGAACGCTGCTGCTCGAGTCCTCACTAAGACTAAGAGACTGGATCACATCACTCCAGTTCTGAAGTCCTTACATTGGCTTCCTGTGTCTCAAAGAATTCATTTCAAAGTACTTTTGCTAGTTTATAAATCACTAAACGGTTTAGGGCCAAAATACATTTCTGACCTACTATACACTATGACCCCCCCAAACATCTAAGGTAATCTGGGACAGGTATACTTTTTGTTCCTAGCGTCAGAAATAAACAGGGGGGAAGTAGCTTTCAGTTTCTATGGTCCTCACATCTAGAATAAACTCCCAGAAACCTGCAGGTCCGCTGCTACTCTCAGTTCTTTTAAATCAATGCTGAAGACCTTTTTTTTATGTTGCCTTTCTCTAAATGACGTTCATTTCTTTACTGTTTAATCTCTTATACTGCACTGTAATTTTTATTCTTGTGTTTTATTATGTTTTTCATTTTTAACTGTTTCTTCTGTGTTTTTTTATTTTGTTAACTGATTTTATGTAAAGCACTTTGAATTGTCCTGTTGCTGAAATGTTCAGAAACTTCGTTATATTTTTTATTATTCCATGTAAGTGTCAAGAGTTAAGATTTTTCTTTTTCTACCTGATTAACAATGTAACAAAGAAATGTGGTCAGTTCATCTCAATCAATAATTAGCTAGTAGAAATGTTAGTGCATTTACAGCTCAAGGTCTTTTTGGATGTTGGCCCACCTTCCCCGACCCATCCTCACCACCTTCTACAGAAGCCCCATAGGGAGCATGCTAACCAGCTGTCTCACTTTTTGGAGTGAAGGCTGCAACGCCTCAGACTGGAAGGAGGTGAGAAGAGTGGTGAGAACAGCAGAGAGGATCATCAGAGCTCCTCTTCCCTCCATTAAACACATTTTATCCCAGCACTGCATGGGAGTCGGTCATATCATTAGCGACCCCTCACATTCCCTGCATGAACTGTTCTCCCTGCTGCCCTCTGGGAAGAGGCTTTGCAGCATTCGATGCAGGTCAAGCAGGTTCTGTAACAGCTTTTTCCCCAATGCCATGATTTACTTCAGTTTATTTATGTAGCAGCAATGCACAACACATGTCATCACAAGGCACTTTACAATTAAACCAGATCCTACAGTCAAATTGATTCAAGGTTTTCTATCTAAGGAAAACCAGTTGATTGCATCGACTCATTGACTTGAATGCAATCCCTCACACTAAGCATGGCATAAGACTGTTGAACTGCTGAAACTTTAATCAAGTCACAAATCCAGACTCAGCATCATACTTGTAAACATCATATTTGCACTACATGGTGAATTTTCAAATCCCTTCAAATAGAAGCTCACTCAGTGTTCTACTGCATTTTGCACCATGTTTATTTATTTATGTTGCACTGCTCTGAACCTTCCATATCAGTGCCTTTTGCACCACATCTTTAAAATAGTTTTCTTTTCTCCTACATTGTTTACACTTTGATCACTGCTGCACTTTACAAATGGAAATGTTCACTTCACTGCTAAGCTGCTCATTCACTTTTGAAAAGTTGTATGCATCGGAATTTCGTTTATACACTGTGTATACAAAATTACAACAAAGTTAGTCAAAGTCTAAAAGCCTCTACCAGTTTTTTATCTATAGAGACTGAGATTTTTACTGTTTTTCAAAACAAAACACCTCCCAATCAGTGAAACTGAGTTTCATTCCATCACATGGGCAGGCTTTAATTGGAGCAAATTTCAGATTGTAGCACTGGCTTTATGGTTATGGTTAGTGATGGATCCAGTAAAACCAATGCATCGGTGCATGTTTCATGCTCAGGGGAAAACCAGTGTCGGTGAGCGTCTGTTTCAAGAAAGTCTCGTGACCAATAAAGGCGCTGTTTCGAACTGATGGGCACAGTAAACTGTGTTTAAAAGCTCATCTGTCAATGCAATGCATCTGCCTAAAAAATAATCTTTTGTGGTTTACCATCAAATTATTGAAGAGATATGGAGCAGCCTCAAGGCAAAAGAAAGGTTTAAGCCGAGTGGGACCATTTTGATCTCATATTCGTTTTAATTTTCTTGTTGTGTCATCCTTATATCATATTATAGGGCATCAAATCAGAGTCAGTTTAGTTTATCAAAGAGGCTGCCTGTAGTGATTTCAAAGGTCCAGCCAGTGTCAGTATTCAATGACACGGTATCGAGATAGTATCAGTACAGTTTGGCAATGTGTCGAAACGCTTCACGACGCCTCATCAACCCATCACTGTTTAGGTCAATATGTTTCTAGAAGATTCAGCTGTTTCTTCAATCGCCTTCCCATGAATACTGACCGGTTCCCCTGCCTTAGTATATGAAAGTCACCCCCAAAAATATGATGGTAAATGGCCTGTACTTATATAACACTTTTTGTAGTCAGGAGACAGCACCAAAGCACTTCAGTCATTCACACATTAACGCACACAATCACACACTGATGGTGGCAAATTACATTGTAGCCACAGCTGCCCTTGGGCTCACTGGCAGAAGCGAGGCTGCCGTACGCTATCGCCACCAGTCCCTCTGACCACCATCAGTAGACAATGCAGGTGAAGTGTCTTGCCCAAGGACAGGGGCCCGAACCGACAACCCTTCGATTGCAGGGCAAACTCCTGCACCCGACGCCACTGTTGCCCAGTGATGCTGCCTCCCCAATGGTTTACAGTGAGGAATCTGTGATAGTATTTTGCACTTTGGCTGGAACTTTTCATTAGTTAGCTTATTATGGGTCTCTAGTAAGCCTAGTGAATCCATCTAAATTGACTTAATAAAATTAATATGGACCCAAAATGTAATTGTAGGTCATAGATTCGTATGGCTTTGTTTTAACTTTCTTCCTTCCATGATCAAATAAAAGGTCACATTTTTATGTTGTTTCACACACTAGCTTCAATATTTGCAGCATGTCTAGCATCACATTGCATTGCAAAAAATAAAATATACCGTAAGTAAATTTGTCTTTTTTTAATTTAATGTGGAAAGTAAGAGACATGGTCAATAAAATAGGATGATTGTGTTTAAAATAAGAAAAACAAGCCCTTTATCTTATTTTGAGGGCAAATTAGGTCACTCCATAGGCAGATCATCTTATCTACCTGGCAAATAAACAAATTTTAATACATCTTTACTTACTTTGAGCTCACTTTTTGCAGTGCGTGTGACCCTTGGCTGCTTCTTTTTTTTAATGTCTTTCTTTTCTAGTTTGTTTGTTGGGGATGACCATGTCTTGAAAAGTGTGTCACTGCACCACACCCCTTTCTTTTTTGGATGAAAGGTGAGTATACTTTCTGAGATGTTCAAAATTTGAGAAATTGTTTTAGAACCCTAACCCTTCTCAGAACTTCTCCATAACTTTCTTGCTGATCTGTCTGTTGTGTTTACTATTCTCTTAACATACCTGAAGCCCTCACAGAATAGCCAGATTTTACATTGAGATCCAATCACACAGAGGTGGACGGACTGCATTTCCCCAGTTAAGTGAGTTTTATTCCGTATAAATTTCACCTGCGCATCAGATCTTCATGTTTTGTGCATGTAACAATTAATGCATCTTTTTTTTTTTTTTTTTTAGCTCTGTTTCCAAAGTAAAACAGCAAAATTTGTGGTTTAATTTCACAGTATGAGGAAAAAAGTTAAATACCGGTAGTTGGTTATTATTTTGCAGAGCATTTAAAGCCACGGCTTTAGGATAAATCCTTATAATCTTTAAATTAGCAAAAAAATTAAATTTTTAAATCTTCATTTTAAAAGTGCATTATAAATGTATGCTCATTAAAAGCTAACTATCTGAATCATTTAGTGAAATCATCAGTGACTCAAAATGGACTTCTATTTATCAGCACATTTGATCTGATTGTGCAGATTTATTTTCTCACGTCTTTTTAGTTGACTTGAAGCTCTTCTCTCTCCTTTTTGATTCAGCCAATCTGACCTTAACCATCGATTAGGAGCCAGAGCTTCTCTTGAAGGGAAAATGAGGGTTCTTGCTCTTACTATAATTTATAAAACCTTTCCAACACAGGCCGGTTGAATGCAAGGTTCCAAAAGTGATGGTTGCCCGGTAAATTACCACCCTTCACAATTCTGCCCCCAACTCTGCATTTAAAGCAGAAAATAGGTGTTTGATCATGTTTAATCTCCTACCATCTAGAGTCTAAATCACAGCCTTCTTTTAGGCAGGTCTACATTTTAACTTCAGGGTAAATTCTGCACAGTCAACAATTCTTACAATTGCTTATTTAGAGATGTCTCATTTTCTGGGTTCTGTAGAGGCTGCCTGCAGATAATGCCAATAAATGTAACTCATCTATGCAAAGCTTTTGAATTTAAACTGACCATTCAGAGTAACATAGGTTTAAGTAAAGTCCCTTGGATGGAAAATTTGAAAAATTGTACTTTTACCAAGTACCCAGGCCTGAAAAATTACAAAGGCTGCACCAAATGCATAA